AAATACAAAGTTGAAGGAAAGTATAAGACTTATAAACAATATTTTTCTAAAAAATAGTTAAAGTTATAAAGTATAAATAACCAGTTATTTATTATTTTAATCTTTCTTAAACTGAAGTATTTTCTCTTCATCACTATAACTGTTAATATTATTATTACTATACTTTTATCATTATAAATATTATTATTCTTACTTTTGTTAATATTGTCATAATTTTTTTTTTATATTACTGTTTTTGTTATAATACTGTTGTTGTTATTATTGTTATTATTATTGTGTTGTTATTTTTACTGTTATTTTTGTTGTTATTATTATTAAAATAGTATAGTGTATACTTTTTATAATCTTTACTATTACTTTTAATCGCTGTTATTACAACTATTATTTTTATTTACTCCTACTTGCATTATAATTATTAATAATAATACTTCGAGAATAATAAAATGATGCTAATAATATTAGCATCATTTTATTAGTATTGAAGTTTGTTAGGGTTATTTATTACAGGTGTTTATTTCATATTAATACTTATTACTATTTGTAAATAACCTTGATGTATCAACTTTATTCAGAATTTATTTGATTTTATTTATTTATATCACTGAAAATTTAAAAGTTAATGAAAAACAATGAGGTAAAAGCAATTTTATATATATATATATATATATATATATATATATATATATATATATATATATATATATATATATATATATACATATATATATATATATATATATATATATATATATATATATATATATATATATATATATATATATATATATATATATATATATATGTATGTATATATATATATATATATATATATATATATATATATATATATATATATATGTATATATATATATATATATATATATATATATATATATATATATATATATATATATATATATATATATATATAGAGAGAGAGAGAGAGAGAGAGAGAGAGAGAGAGAGAGAGAGAGAGAGAGAGAGAGAGAGAGAGAGAGAAAGAGAGAGAGAGAGAGAGAGTCTTAAAAAACAGAGTAATAATAAATTAGCAAAAACACTTATCTAATTTTTATCTTCAAGAGCTTTTTTCTCCATCAGTAGGTTTATCAAAAAGCCTGATCAACTATTGAACCTACTAATAAACCTTCTTCATGAACCTACTGATGGAAAAACACGTTGTTGAAGAACAAAACTTGATAAGTGTTTTTACTTATATATATATATATATATATATATATATATATATATATATATATATATATATATATATATATATATATATATATATATATATATATATATATTTATATTTATATTTATATATATATATATATATATATATATATATATATATATATATATATATATATATATATATATATATATATATATATATATATATATATACATATATATATATATATATATATATATATATATATATATATATATATATATATATATATATATATATATATATATATATATTTACATTATTGAGCTAATTAAAAAAATGCACTTTTGCTAGATTTATTAAGGCTATTTATTGATCCAAAAATCAGATCAACTTTAGTTTTAGACAAACTCAAAATGGACAGGTAAAAGAAATTTCTTCATTTAAAATTTATGCAGAGGTTATTTGAAATTCAAAATAGTAAAACAAGTGGTCAAATCATAAACATAGTTATTAAAGTAATAGAAATTACCTTTGATGCTCGAATATGGTATGAGTTTAAATATTTTTGATAAAGTCAGATAACAAAATACATCAAAGATTTTTCTGTGGATAAAATTCTAATCAGAAAGCATCAAAAGAGTTTTATGTTTAAATGTTTATTTGTGTCTAAATAAATTTTTGTTATAAGAATTTGAGTTAGTGAATAATTCTTATAATTATTTAATATTTAAAGTCATTTTTTTAAAAAGTTTATTTATGCAATTTTTCCTATTTTTTCTGTGTGTATAGATTTTCATTGTGTATAGATTGTATAATATGTGTTTCTATGTGTATAGATTGTATAATATAAAATGTGTATAGATTTTCTATATTTATATCAACACAATTTTACAAAATAAAGAATGATTAATTACATAATTAATTATGTAAAAAAAAAAAGAATAAAAACTTTTAATTCTTTAATTTTATGTGTTTTATTATAAAGACCAAGACCAAAACAATCAATGTCAAGGCCAAAAACTTCAAGGCCAAGGTCAAAAGTTTCTAGGCCAAGGCCTTAGTTTTTGGTCTTAAGGCAAGGTCAAGACCAAGGACTAACAACTCTGGTCTAAAGAAACCTCTCTATAGAAAATAGTATAAGTTATTTTTATAGAAAAGCTATACAAATTTTGTTTGTGTATAGGGTAGGGTAAAAAATTAATAACAATTCCATTTTTTTACTTTTAAATTGTATTCTCAACTGTTTAAATACTGTTTGAAGAGTTTTACTTTTCGTGGTTGTCTCTGATTTGCCAAATATTCTAAAGCAACAAAGTATTCTTCATCAGAATCGGAACAGTCTAAGTCTAAATCCATAAAGAAGCTGTTAATTTTTGTTAACTTTGATGTTTTTAACTCAAAAATATTTTGTTTTTGATAGCCTTTTATGTTATTGATTCGGACAGTAGATTTCCGAAAATAAATTCAGAGCATAGATATCTGCAAAATTTTACGGCGGTAAAAGTTTTATAACATTGAATGAAAAAACATTTTACGTCTCTAAATTTACGGCTGTAAAAATTCCGCCGGTAGCATTTTACGCCGATAAAAAGTTGTATAACATTGACCCCAGGTCTTGTCGCCGAGAACCGCTGTTGAAGAACTTTGAATTTAATTTAGATTTTAGAAAAACAAAAATATATAAAAACAATTTTTAAACTTTTCTTTAGTTATGGTCTTTATGGCTTGAATTAAATTAATTCAATTAGTAAATTCCATGAGAGATTCGAATCTATAAAAATATCAAGATATTTAACAATGTGTTGGATATAAACATCTATTATTAATTTTAATTAAAAAATTGTTGTATAAAAGTTTTTGTTTTGGAGATGAAAAAACTATTAGTTCAGTTTTTTCCAAGTTCAGAGAAATTAAGTTTGCATTTAGCCAATAAACTAATCTTTTTAGATCTAAGTTTATATTCTTACACAAGGAATGATGAGACTTATTAATACGTAAGATATTAGTATCATCAGCAATTAAATGGACTGATGGGAAGTGGATAGAGTTATTTAGATCAATAATATAAATCAAAAACAATAAAAGGCCAAAAACAGAACCCTGGGGAACACCACAAACCAAGTGTTTGTTATTCAATTTGTAACCATTAATGCTAACAAACTGCTTTTGATTTGGGAGATAAGATCGAAGCCAATTACAAGCAACTCCTCGGATTTCGTAATATTCAAGTTTAGAAATTAAAATGGGATAATTAATGATATCAAAAGCTTTTTGTAAGTCGATAAAAACAGCACCAACGAAATGACCAGTATTGTGCCTTTATTTTTTCGATAATACTTTTTTATTATTTGCGTGGCAAGTAGAGTGTTTTGATCGAAATCCAAACTGAAATTCATTTAAACAGTTATCAAAAATAAGTATAATTTAGAATACATTAGTTTCTAAAGAGTTTTCTAATTTTAGAAGGAATTGAAATTGGTCTATAGTTAGTACTTGATAGTTTTGAGCCAATTTTTTATACTGAAATTACACAAGATAATTTCAAAATGTCAGGAAAACCTCTATATAAGAAGGAAGTGTTGAATAGCTTAGAGAGAATATGAGAAAATTCTGAATTAAAATCAATAAGAATGTTTGTGGGGATGCTGTTAGGACCTATTGATTTTCTAGGTTTTAATTTTGATATAACTGATGAGATTTCAAAATGGTTTGTTGGAGATATCAGTAAACTTTAAAGATTTGGATGCTTAAAATACTTTTTATAGCTAACGCAATGTAATTTATCGACAATCCTATATAAAAAAAAAACAATTCAAAAGCGTGATGGCGGAACAAAAAAATTATAAAGAAAAGCGGAACGATTTTGCAATTAGTCGGCTTAGAAGGAACCATACTTTAACCTATGATTATAGTTCAATATAAAATTATCATTCATTTAAAAAAATTAAATAATTAAGTAAAAAAATAATATTCCGTCAAATAATAAGAAATAAAAAAAAAAGGAATTTTTACTCGAAGAGCTTTTGTATCTTGATGATAAGTCGCACGAGGTAAATGCATATTTTTCTAATTCTCTTTTATTGAAAATTTTGGACGGTTCAGTAGAAAATATTTTTTACCAAAAAAGTAAGGATAAGTCTATACATAAGTGAAAAAGCTTTTCAACTTTAAATCGCTTGAGGCAAAGTCAGATCATTTTCAAAAATTATAAAGCCAATATATTTTTAATTTCATTGAACTTGCGTAGTTCACAAAAACTTTATTAAACTATTGCTCTTATAAAATCAATTCACTATTTAATCCTGGAGTTTTATAGACGTCTTCACTTATACGAGTTACTTATACATGTTATACGAGTTGTTATACGAGTATTTAGCTTTGTTGCCAGTTTTTTTTTTGGTAAATTCAGAATATAACTTTTAAATTTTTAAGTAGTTTAAATATTTGAATTAGTCAATGTCTTATTATTTAGTTTTTATAAACCCTTGTGCTCTTGGAATGGACCTGAAGACGGAGAGGAAAAAAAGGCGTTCATATTTTAGGTTTTTGTGTGTTCCTGATACCTCTGGATTATTCGTACATAAGCCAAAAAGATTTTTAAAAAAGAGTCATTTTTGACACCCAATAACAAAACGAAAGTCGAATGATGCATAAAGGGTGTTAATTAAATTACGAAATTGAACATCTTCATCAATAACTTCTTTTTATATAAAACAAGTTTAAACCAAAACCTTTGTTTGTGGAGACAGGTACAATTAGTAGTCAAAAACTAAAGAAAAAAGCTTACCCTAACCTTGAGCCCAAAAAAAAAAAACTCATAAAATTACCACAAAAAACTTTATTCTTAAGAATACATATTTGTAATAAAATAAATTTACAATAACACGCTATATTTTAACTGATGCGTTTTATGCGGTGAAGCCAACGTAAGTTCTTATGTGTGAGCTGAGAAGCATGCATTAGTTCTCGATAATTTATTTTCAAGCAGTGTTCACATAAAAAAGAATAATACATTAATGCGGTTCTTAATTATATTATTTTTTCCTATTGTTTTTTTTTTATTTCCAATATATTTCATTTATAGCTGAGTTTAATTTATGGTATAATCATTGCTAATCAAGCTAAATTTTAAGTTACATCTAATCAAGCTTCAAAACAAAAGAAGTAATATTTTTAGACACTATGCAAACGATTCAAATACTTCTTTTTTAAAAAAATATTAATTAAGATATCGAGCGGTGTGTAAAAGCTTCTGTAACCAACTTCTTTTATTATATGGAGGAATGGTCACCAGTGTTAAAGAATTTATTATGCAGAATTATTTTTTTAATATTCATGTTTTCTGAGATGATTCCACTGACATGACTTTTTTCAAAAATAAAAATACTTGTCAAAAACATTAATTATATTGAAACTCGTATAAATATATTTAAGATCAAATAATTTTTAAACTGAGTTCTTACCATAACACAAAATTATAATTTTGTTTTTACATAAAGCCAAAATAAACTAAACAATAAATTGTGGGTTTAAACGTAAATAATATTACCATACGATTTTTTGTATATAAACTAATAAAAAGTTTGACATCGCCTTAATTATAAGAATGATAGCAACTTGAATTAAAAAAAAAAAGAACTTCAAAGGAATACAAAAAATTAGTATTTTCTTTGAGCACCTGTGGAAAATAGTAAAATCCCTTTTTGCTTTTTTTTTTTAGAATTATTCTCTTGAGTTGGATCTAAACATTTTAAAGTAGTCGCTGAAATTGCAGCATTAAACATCTCTTTAAAGGTAGGTGTTGAAATTTCACATTCATTATCTTGTAAGACAGTTAAGTTGCGTGTATCTAAAATTGAAAACAAAGTTTATAAGTAATTGATTACATTATTAACATTATATACACTAAAAAAGGTGATGCCGTGAAAAATGCTTATGTGCCGTAAATAATGCTAATGTACTATTGTAAAAAAAATTTTGGAATGCGAAAGAATGCTGCAGTCCATTCGAGAATTACATAAGATTTAGAATGTCCAATTAAAAACCAGAGCGCAAAAAGATGCAATTTAAAATATTTTATTAGCATTACTTTCAAATGAGTGTATCTACCTGTAAACTTGCATGACAAAAGATAATGACTAAAATCGGATGTTAGCATCCCCTACGGGCATTTGTTTTAAAAAGTTACGATATGTCTTATAAACGTTTTTTAAACGTTCTTTACGAGAGAATGTTTAGAAGACGTTTAAAAGACATTTAAAATACATTTAGAACGTAACTTTTGAAAACAAATGCCCGCTGGGTCAGATGATAAAACACGTTATCGTATCAATCTATTTAGAATCAAGCATTACACTACTTCTACCAGGCAACCGACATCACATCACTCAAATCAAGTAAAAGTCGGACAAGCCAATACGAGATTAATAGTTTTTTTTGATGATTATTTACTTTCGACTATTTTTTAATAATTATTTACTTTCGACTATTTCTTAGTTTTTATTCTTTACTATCAAATTTTTAAATTATAAGAAAAATTTAAAGATACCTTTACCATTTTTGTTTGTTAGCTGAGTGTTTGTTAGGTGTATGCTTGGTTTTTGAAACATCGCGTCATCTGGTTGTTTTACTTTTAACATTTGAGCAAAAGACAAACCAGGTTTGCCTAAACCATTATTTTCATCTGCAGCTGCTTCATTATAAAATGAATTTTGATGGGTTAATTCAGTTGTAGGAGAAAAACTGCATGGAAAATTATCAAGATCTGCTAAATCAATATTACTTGTAGGACAATCATCAACACATTGATAGCCTAATAAAAAAAATCAATATTACTTGTAAAACAATCATCAAAACATCGATAGCCTAGTTAAAAAAACTATTAACTTAAATTAAGAAACTATTTCATAATGTAATAACTTTATATATAAACTTAAATTTTATATACATACAGTTAATAAAATAATTTTTTTTTTACCAAACTCTTTATTTCTTGCGTTAGTAGCTTTACGATCAAATTTTCTTTGTTCCTCTAACTTCTTTGAGCGAATTGACTTTCTTTTATTAAACTCTGGCATAAAATTATGTATTGTGCTTTTCGACAAAACTGGTGGTCTTAGTAACAACTCACAAATGCAAAATTCACACGCTAGTGGTAAATGACTCAAATATCTAAAACGCTTACGATGTTCCTAAATAATTACAAATACTAAATGAGTATTTATTAATACTAATTACTTTAAAAATACTAAGTATATATTGGAAAAAAAAAATAAATAAAAAAAAGCAAAATAATATTTACTATATTTATAAATATAATACATGTTTTTTTTTTATAAGCATATAAAATTTTTGAAACAGGCTTGGGTATGCTTAAGCAAAAAGTTAAAAGAGGCTCAAAAATATGCTTAAACTTAAGCATATTTCTAATAAAATATGCTTATTTCAATAGTTTCTAAAAGTGCGTGCGTTACTAAAGGTTAATAGTTATAAGGAAAATAAAAAATTGACTTTTGTACAGTATAATAAAAAATAAATATATATACTATATACAAATGTTGATAAAATCAAAGATATGAACTTTACATCCCTTCGTCCGGACCCATAATGGTGTCATCTGGAAGAATTTCGTTGGCATTTTCATTTATAGCATCATCTACCTCCACTGGTTGAATATCACTTTGATTTTCCTTGGGTTGATCACTGCCAGGATCAATGATGGATGGTGGGGGCACTTGGTAACTATCAAGGCCCTCTGGTTTAACAAGCGAATCTTCTGAGCCATCAGAAGTCATTGTCCAGTCATTGTCCAACATTTCTTCGTTTGCTTGTCATACTTAGAAGTGTTTAAAACTTTCCATGCTTCCCCTGCCCAATGTGAAATCAAAATTCGTCTATATTTTGCGGTGTAGGGCATTTTATAACTGAACCATCTATCAGAGTGATTATCTCTATCAAGCCATTATTAATATTCAATGGCAATAAGCCTTTTCAGAGTGGAAGCATATCCTGCATCAACAGATTGCCAAAGGTCAGTGGCACTTGGAAAACTATACCAGAAAGGTCCTTTAGCAGCAGCCACAGCATCTTTAAAATCCTCCTGCATCTGTCCCTTCAAATTGTCCACCAAAAGAACAAATTTATCAAGATATTGCTCTCAACAAATAGAAGGAGTGTTTTATCACACAAGTGCTTACAAATGTTTTGGTCTAACCAAGCATTTTGTTGGAAGTAAACGTGAATATCTTTGTGCCATGCTAACTTTTTGTCTTTTGAAATGTGTTTTCCTTGACCTCTAAAATTGATGGCTAGCTTTAGTTGCTCTCCTTCTGGCTGAAACATAATTTGAAGGAAACATTGGCTTTTTTCCAATCCTGAGCCCGGTTATGAGATCATTGTATTATGTGTTGCACCTTGACCCTTGGGAACATACTCGTAAGTTTTTTTTACCATGAACAACAAAGGGAAGTGGGCTCTGGTTAACGTTGAGCCTTTGTCCAGGTTGGTACTGTCTCCATTTTTTGTCATAGCTTGGATCTTTAGAACCTGTTCTGATACACTTTTCTCTGTATGTCGCATGCCATTTCCGTAATAATGGTTCCATTTCTTTCCTATGTTTCCTTTAGTTTCTTTGTTTCGATCTCATTTTAAACTCTTTTTTTTGTAAAAATCGAACTATAACATGATGTTTTATTACCACTTTTGGATCAATGTTTAATTGTATATTTCTAGCTTTACTCCAAAGCCAGGAAAAGTTAACAATATGACCTTTCGATTTGGCTTGTAAAAATTCTTTGTAAAGAATTTCGTATAGTTCAAGACATTTTGTGGAACGCCTTCCCTTCAGAAAAAATTTGCGATAGGATGATTCAGCATCTTTAATAATAGTTTCTTTTTTTTTAAGTCATCATGAAACCTGACTTTGTGTAACACCAAACGACTCAGCTATCTTGATTTGCCTCATAACCATAGGTGTTAATTTCCTCTGCTTTAAAGGCAGAAGTATATTGGTGCTTTTTCTTACCAGTTAATTTGCTAGCCTCTTCACTTTTTTTATGGCACTAACAACTTTGTTGACAATGTTATCAAGTACATCTTTAACTGCTAATGACAAGTTCTTTGTTACTTTGAAAAACTAGTGATTGTGAATGTTTACAATCTTGTTTGCTAATTCCGTACATAACTTTAACATGAAAAGCTTGTCCTTGTTGGCTTTCGAATAACTTTTTGTGATGTTCGCATTCAACACAAGTTTCAACAACTTTTAATGGCAATTGGATTGCACTCATTTCTCCTCTGTGCATAACATTTTTTGTGAAACCAAACGCTGCCAATGTAGGCTGCTTTGTCTTTATCTTCTTTGACAATGTTATTACTATTTTTAACAGTATCTGAAAATAAAACTTAGAAATAAAATAAACATTTTAAATATGGTATTAAATAAGCTACACATTAGGAGCGAGGAAAAAAAAAGAGAGAGAAATAAAACACTGTAGAGAAACTCTTAAAATTTACTTTTTTCTGGTCAAGTATTGAGGTTGAGATTTTGCATTACAATGACTTTTACTTCATAAAGTCGTTGCACTGCTAAACATAAACTTCGATTTTTGTTGTTTTTGTAGGTTTAAATTTAGAAATATATATATTTAAAATTTTTAAATGGTTTATCGAGGCTCAGGAATATGCTTACATATGCTTATTTTTTTTCCAAATCTGAGCCTCCTTTTGCTTATAAATGCTATGCTTATATATATATAAAAAAACATGTATGGAATTGTGACCTTTTTAAAAATTATTTCAAGCATTAGTTTCAAAGTAAGTACGGGTCAAAGTTTTTTTCTACTCTGAACAAATTTTAGGCTAAGAAAACAGGTAAAGAATATTAGTTTTATAATTTAATTATAAAACTAATATTTAATAATTAAATTATTAATTTAGTTTTAAATATATTTAACAAGTGGTATTCTCTTATTTTATACAGGAACATGCAGAAGATAAAAGCATTTTTTAAAAATTACCAAACTCATAGTAAATGATTCAAAATCTAAAATTTGGCCTGTAATGGTGGTTGGAGCATTACATAAGGATCCATACTCTTCTATTAAACATCTTGCATTAAGTGCATCAATATATATATTTTGACCATCTTCAGCTAAAAAATAACACATGAAAATTTAAAAATTGATAAAAAGAAAAATCTTTAACCTAAAAAAAAAAAAAATTAACAATGATTAGAGTAAACTGGGGGTTGGGGGTACTAGCAGACAGTCTATCATAAAATTCAATACTATAATTTATGAAGTGTAAAATTAAAAGACCAGATAAATCAGAATTTTTTTTTTTATTAAGCTGAAATTATGTACAAATATGTACAATGTTTATGTATGTACAAATTATAGGGCAGATGAATAAAAAAAAGCAATTGCTTTTACTCAGTAATTGGTCAGCTTTGCGTGAATAAAAACTTTACTCAGTAATTGGTCAGCTTTGCGTGAATAAAAACTTTAGCAAATTTGCTTAAATTTTTATTTAAAACTGAGCAATTATTTAGAGTTTTTGGAGTAAATTGCTTATACATTTATTATTTATTTTTAATTTAAAAAAATTTAGCGTAGACACTTTTTGAACACTTTCTTTAATGAGAACATAACATGTGTTTAATGAGAATATAACATGTGTTGGGAGTTGGCATTTTAATTAAACAGGTAGAGTTTATCTGGAGTGACTAAAAACCTAAATCATGAGAAATATTGGATCAGCTGTTTACATCAAGTAGATCTATGAATATTGATGGCAACCCTGAATGGTATTTGTGCAATAAAACGGATGTAAATTTTGTATCTTACATTCAGTTTTGAGCAAAACCTTGAGACAATACCCAACACCATTATTGTCTTTAATCATCTTGCCATATAACTCTTTAATAGAGTATATTTCACTTACTGCTGCATTTTCAACTTCAAATGTTTTAGAATACATCAGTGATGATTGCGTCTTCTGATCTCCTCCTACCATTTTTGTCTACTTTGTTCAGCCTAGAGCAAAAATTGAAGCTACTTTTCTAGACAAAATAGCTTTAATTCATGAACACAACCTTTAATAAACCAGACAATTTTTTTTATTCATGAAGGGCACTCACTATATCTCAGTAGTTCTGTAATGTTCAAGCCAAATTGTTTACCATCTTTGTTGAAGATGCTTTCAATAGTCTATAAAGCTTTTTTCAGCAACCTAATTCATTTCCCTATTATCACTTCCACAAACAGTATATTGCATGGATGCTATTTTTTAATTAAACCACAATATATTGCATGGAGTAAAAAGTGCAGTCAAATAAAATCTTAGTGAGTCAAATGTCTTTTAAGAAATTAAGGCTGACTTTCCAAAAAATTTAATACAGTAGATAGCGATATATCTCATAAAGTTTAGGCATATTAGAAGGACATTATAATCTTTGGATTTATGTTAAAAAATAAAATTCCAAAAAAAGCTAAGACAAACTTAGAATAAAAAATTAGTAATTGCTATTACAAATTAGATATTATTAACTTTTCTTTTCTTAGCATTCTTAGCATAAGAGATTTTAGGTTAATGTTCAAAAAAAATATACAATTTGTAAGATTTTTAAATTAAATTGATTTAGAGATTTGTTTATACAGTAATAAGATGAAAACCGTTTGTGTATTTTTTTGGTACTATATATATGAAAGATACTGATAAATTTCAAATGTTCAGAATAAAAAATGTTTTCAAAAGGTTTATAATAAACCTATATTCGAAGATTTTTGTGGATTATTTAGTGCATCATTTTAAAATAAGGGCAAAAAAATAGGGCATGTGGTGGGCATGTTTTTATATAATCTAGATACCTTAAGGAATTACAAGCAAAGCTTCAGCTTTATAAAGAACATCTACTAAAATTTATTTTTGTGTTACTTTTCATATTCATTCTTTTAATATGAGTTTTCCTAAGTGCTCTATAAATCCTTTTTCATACAGTTTTTTTGCTCAAACATTAATTATTTGGAATTTGTTCCCTTCTTGTTTTCCTGATTTATAAAATTTGCAATCTTTTAAGTTGCCTGTTAACTATTATCTTGCTTTACAAACTTAATCTTTTTTCCCTCAGTAACTTTCAATTCTAATAGTGGTTGCTTGCAGCCTTGTTGGAAGTGAATTTATTTAAAAATAAAAAAATACCTAGCTGCCACATTCACCTGGTCTTAATTCAATTGAAAATCTGCGATCATATTAGATGCTAAACTTCAGTCAAAAGTCAGAAAAACTAGTAATTAAGATGAAACATTTTTGAAACTTTTAAATGGTTGGAATTTTTTGGAAGCTTGTTAACAATACTAAATGAAAGCCTGCCCCACAGATGCCAAGTAGTTATTGATGCAAAAAATTAAGCAGCCAAGTATTAAAAACGATTATAATATTAAAAGGCTGATTGAATTGCTATTTAAATGTAACAAGGGAAAAGCTATTTTAGCAAGTATTCTGTAATAAACACGAAAGATGTAAATAATTAGAAACCATAATCAATTTTAGCAATACCAATTATGTTGATTTTTATGAATTCAGTAGTTTTATTATAGTAGCACAACTTTATTAAGAATTTTGTCTTTCAATAAATTAAAAAGAAACTTGTTAATTTGTTTTTTCAGTTTACTAATACCCCAGTTGACTCTATATCAAAAGTTAATCCATAAAATAAAGTTAATAAAGTATACAAATATAACATAAAACCAAGTGTATGAAGTATATACCTTGATAAAAGTAGTAAAAATCATCAAATCTTTCAGATGATTTATTAACATAGTGCTCAACATGTTCATCAATCAGTATGTTGCTTGGTTTTGCATTACATGACAATTGTTCATCAGCTCCATTATTCCATTGTAATGATACTTGATGATCCAAATTTTCTTTAATTGTATTTGTATTTTCAAATTTATTTTCACTGTCATTATTGGCAAAAGGTAATTCATAACTATCATCAACCTATCAGTATAAATTATAAAAGGTAATTCATAACTATCATCAACCTATCAGTATAAATTATAAAAGGTAATTCATAACTATCATCAACCTATCAGTATAAATTATAAAAGGTAATTCATAACTATCATCAACCTATCAGTATAAATTATAAAAGGTAATTCATAACTATCATCAACCTATCAGTATAAATTATAAAAGGTAATTCATAACTATCATCAACCTATCAGTATAAATTATAAAAGGTAATTCATAACTATCATCAACCTATCAGTATAAATTATAAAAGGTAATTCATGATTAGGTAATTCAGTATAAATTATAAAAAATCAAAGTAATAAAAATCAAAGTAAAAAAAAAAAACATTTGCTTGTAGTAAACTAGACTAACCTTAGCTTGAGACAAAATAAATGCCAAACTTGATTCCTGAGAGGGTACAAAGGCATCATTGTCATCAACAGTATGTGTCATATTCAAAGTTTCAATAAGTTCATTATCAATTTTTATTTCTTCTATTGCTTTCTATGAAAAATCAAAATTTATTTATTTTTATTGTTTTCATATTAATTTCATATCGCTTTTATATTAGTTAATAATGCCTCTGAGTGTTAACGTGAATAATATTACCTTGACTTTCATTAAAGCTAATTGAATAAAACAGTCTTCACCGCTCTAAAAAAAATTAAAATAACGATTTAGTAATTAATTTTTTTTTCTTTTCATGTTGATATTTTAGTTCATGACTTCAAAATAGTTGCACTATGAAAGATTACACACCCAGGATTTTAAAATCAACCATTTGTAATGGTATGAAACAATGCTCAACATTTATTTTAACTTATATTTATATTTCAACAACTATTTATTATTACTAAGATAAGTTAATTTATGTTTAAGTTAATATAACTACAACAGCTATAATAAATATATGAAAGATATAAAAATAGGTATAATAAGTATGTAAGATATAAATGTAGTTGCTATAGCCATAGTCTTTATAACAGATGTCTTGATTAAGTCTTGTTTTCCAGCAGGCTGGAAAACAAGACTTAATCAAGACATCTGTTGTTCAATTTTCAAAAACTCCGGTGAACATTCTGACCCCTCCAATTATTGTCCAATCAGTCTACTTTCTGTTATTAGCAAGGTCTTTGAGTCTTTGATAAACAAATTTCTCACATCCCATTTTGAGTCAAATAACTTGCTGTCAGACAACCAATACAGTTTTCGATTCTCTCACTCTACCACTGACTTGCTAATTGCTGTGACTAGATTTCATCGTGCATTAGACAGAAGCAGAGAGCTAGGGCTGTTGCTCTTAACAAATATAAGGCATTTGACAAAGTTTAGCTAGTCTTCTCCATAAGCTTCTTTCATATGGTGTATTTTCAAATTTTTGAAATTGTTAGATTGTTTCTTTTTAACCACTTTATTTCCAGTAACTTCTACGTTACCTCAAGGTTCTATCGTTGGTCCAATTTTGTTTCTTATCTACATTAATGATCTTCCTGACAACCTCACATCTAAAGTAGCAATTTTTGCTTATGACTCAACTTTATACTCCTGTCTTGACAAAAAGTCTTCTTTTTTTTGATAACTTAGAACAGGTAGATGATCTTGAATCTGATCTCACTTTTGTAACAGATTGGGGTTTACAGTGGCTTGTAAATTTTAACTCCAATAAAACTCAGTTATTTACTGTAAACAACTATCGCAGTACTGTCAACATTTCTATATATGAATGGCAACCCTCTCACTGAGTCCTCGTCTTTACATCTTCTTGAACTATCATTTACTACTGACCTTTCATGGAAACCATACACACAACTGATTAGTAAATTAACATCTGCTAAGGCTGCTTCTCTTCATTGTGCTTACCATTTTCTTACTCCTGATTCCAATCTTTACCTCTACCAACCTCTTATTCGTCCCTGTATGGAATACTGTTGTCATATTTGGGCTGGTTCTTCTAATGATGCTCTTTCTCTTCTAAACAAGGTCCAAAAATCCATTGTAAACATAATTGGACCAGGTCTATCTGCCAACCTTGAGCTTCTTTCCCATCGTCATAAAACTGCATCTCTTCTTCTTTTCTACAAACATGGTGGCTGCCCAAAGGAGTTTCATCAACTAAAACTCATTTTCATATGACTCACCATTCATATAAGCCTCATTCTTTTACTGTATCTGTTCTTGCATGCTTAAAAAACTTTTATTAGTCTAGTTTTTTTCCCTGCACTTTTCTGACTCATATAACCTTCAACTTTTCAAGACATCTGTCAAAATGCGGTAGTGGTGTAGTGGTAGAGCGCTTGCTTCATAAGCGAGAGGTTTTGAGTTGGAAGTACTGCACTCAATTTGTTTTTCCACGCAGCAGCCTTGTTTGTCAAGCTTCGTGTTTTGAAGTTATAGAGTCGAGAGAGGGTTATAACCAAAATTAAGTAGCCTCCTCATTTGTAGTGGCCTTCTTGGCCTTGGTGAGGTGAATTAACATTAAAAAAAACTAAAAAAAAAAACTGTTTCCTCACTTGTTTTTTTGTGGAGCAAGCAGTAAATACACTTAGTTGATTTTAAATTCATACATTGTATGTAATAGTAGAAGAACAAATTCTTAGCAAATTAGAAAAATGCTAATTAAAAAAAATGAACAAGTAAACAACTTAAACAATTTATTTTAAGTAACAACTTAATAAGTACTTAATTGAAAACAATAATATAAAATCCTGTCTTTTTATTGCAAAAAGAACTAACTTACTATTTTCTTTTTTAGTAATATCATATATTATTTATTAGTGAATAATATATTGTTTACAAGTGAAGTTAAGAAACCATTTTTAACTGCATACAAAAAGTGTATTGTAAATTATATATGTATTAGCATTATTAGTAAATGAATTAGCTAGCAAGACAAAACAATGATTTAAAAATAAATTCAAAAAAATCATAAACCATTGTCTTACTGAAAAAAATATGCTAAACTGAGGTACAGTATCCTTTATTAGGATATAAAGATATAGTATCTATAAAAAAAGAAGAGTAATATCCAAGTATATTTAGATCTTGTGTTGTATGTTAAGTATACAGGGCCTATTCTAGGCAAAAAATTTTGACAGCGAAACCCTTTCGTCCCAGCAAACTTTAGCAGAAAATAGACGGGTTTTTCGCAAAAACAACAATATATGCTGTAAAAAACGTTATATAAAAAAAAAGGTCCTCAAATCTTAATTTGGGCGGTGCCCAAATACGATCATCGCTTCGAAAACGGTCTAGAATAACCCCTGGTATATTAAGATGTTATGTTGTATGTTAAGTATATTAAGATGTTATGTTGAAAACAGTTAGAAACCAGACAATTGGTACCACAGTTCAAGAAACATTTATAGATTTCATAAATGTTTAAGATACAACTAGATTTCATATTAGATACTATTAGATTTCAGACTTCATATATATGATTGGTCCAATAAGAAAAGTTTGATGTTTAAAACTGAATAACAGATATTCATGAATTCTGTAAATTCTGTGCAACTATCACTCCTAGAACTTAGTTATTATGAATGAATCTTTAAACTTTGGGAAAAAATTTTTTTTTGAATAATTAAATCTTAAAAACCATTATTTATTTTTTTCAAATTTAAATTTTTTTCAAATTTTAATTTTTCAAAATTTAAATTTTTTAAATACCATTTTTATCATTTGTTTTAACCATATTTTAAATAATTTTGATTAATATTATAGATAAAAAAAAAAAGAAAAACCTCGTCTGCAACAGCCTGTATAAGTTGATTTTCCAACTCAAGTTTTTCTGGTAACATAATTTTTTCAACAACAGAATCTTTATTTGCCAACATAAGTTTACTTCCAAACTTTAAAAATAACCCTAAAATAAAAGATCAAAATTATAAAATAATTGTAAAATTTTTTAGTTATTATATCTACAATTATGGATTTAAGTTAGCACTGTCTGCATATATTTTGCTAATTACTTTGGAAATATTAATTTATTTTGATTTTATTACATTAAACAGTTACAAAAAATGATAGAAGAGAGAAATACCATTCCAAAGCGAAAAAGATTCATCAGATATTTTTTCACTTTTTGTTGAGGTAAACAGAGAACTCTAAAAAACAATATAACTTATCATTTGTAAATAAGTTAATGCTTCATAACAATATAAATTGTCTACTAATTAAATTTCACCTAAGAAAAATAAAAACAAAACAGCATTGACATATAGAATTATACAAGCTTACTTTTTGTCGCTTCATTAACTTCATTGTGATATTTTCATGTCTTGCAAATTTCTTTTGGATAACATTCACAACACTTTAAACAAAGTTTTAGCTTTACAAAATATTGTAAATAAAAGTGAAGTGATTTAATTGTCAAAAAAAAAAAAAAAAAAAAAAAAAAAAAAATGAAGCAAGAGTTAAAACTAAAAGAGGGTTACTCTTTGATTAAGTTTTACACTCTGTTTAAGATTATTTTTTGTGTAAATCAGTGTTTGGTTATATTTGCGCATTAAAGTTACTTTTAAAAGTTTATAATAAATCTGCAGATTTTTAAACTTTATTGAACCAAACAAAATTATAAAAACATGAATTATAGTACTGCAATATAAATGGAATTCTATGGATTACATGTATAAAATTTGTTAAATAGACTATTAATAATCATTAGACATGATAATATTATTCAATTTTAAACTCGTTATGCTGTTGAATGTGTGATAAAAACCGTAAACTAAAACATCGACTCCTTGGTAGTTGTGAAAAACTGTGAACCACAAGTTTAACTAAAATATCATATAATTTTTTGTTCCCTTTTTATTCAATTTTGATTATTTATATAAATTTAAATTAAAAAAATTTTAAACCTAGTGTTTCAAATATAAAACAAATTAAAGGGGTAAGAGCAGGTTTTTTTTTAAAATGTTGTTTTAAGAGCCACCTTAACGTTGATGTTAAGATCATGTCATTTTAAGTAGTAGCAAAAGAATAATTAATGGTTGCAAGTATCAAAAAAAAAAAGAAGCTATAATAGTGACATTTACAACAATTTTTTGCAATAAGTATTGTATTATAGCATTTTATGAATGTATTATTCATAATAAATATTTTGAGAACATGAAAATAAACCTTTTTAAATCTGCATCATGCACTGCTTCATGACAGATTGGGCATTTTCTCCATGTTTTATCAGTCTAGAAAAAAAATTTATATATAAATCATCAAGTTTAGGAAATATAGTCATAAATAGAGGAACACTTACCAGCTGCAAATAATGGAGAATGCAACTCCAACAAAAAACATGACCACATCGTGTAATTTTTGCCACTGTTGGGGGGTACAAGCATATTGGGCAACTAGGTATTTCATGTGTTGGCAAGTACTAAAAAAAAAAATTTTTGTGTAAAGTTTAACAAAAATAAAATAAAATATTTACAGCTAATGGATTAATTTGCAGGAGTTAATTAATCCATTAGCTATAAATAGCCTGAGTAAAATGACTTAGTGAGCTACGCGGGCCACCAGGAATTTTAACAAAAAATTTTTAATTCATCTGAAAGTTGTTTTTTTTTATTATTAATTTTTACTCTTGATTGAACTTTATTAAGTTGTATGTTTCGACTTTGGATGCCTTTATTTCATATATAGTTAAACCAATAACTTGGTTAGTTTTTTTAATTCAAAAAAGAAACAATTTTAAACTTGTTAAAAAATATGCTAATAATGCCCAATAAAATTTGCCCCCTCTCCCCCAAAAAAGGGCTTCTTTTAAGTACAGTTATACAAGAAGTAGTTGAATTACTAAGATTTATAAAAATAAAAAAAAAATGACTTTATCTCCATTATTATTATAAATATTAAAAGAAAATTTCAATGTTTAAAAAAGCCTCTGCTCCTTTGCTCCCGCCCATTCAAAAAATAATTAACAACTTTAAGCACATATATTTGGTTAGGGTAAGGTTGGTTGGAGCTAAAAGACTTTATTAGACGAAATTAAAATTAAATTTTACTTACTCTAAACATTTAAAAAAATAATTTCCCCAAATAAACTCCACGATTCTCACTCATTTAACTTTTTTAAACAATTTAACCTAAGTCTTTGAATTATAGCTTTCAGATTTAAACCTGGAAATGGCTAATAAAATGAGACTAAAGCCTTAGTTTTTTTTTGTTTTTTTAAATTCTTTTTATTTTCAATTACTTGATAATCAAAAGCATTTTGTAAAAACATAAAATTAGTAGAAAAAGATTTTTAAATGTATTTTTTTAATTCCACTAACATTTAATACTATTTAAAAGGATTTGATTTAATTAGTTCTTTATCTTTGAAATAAAAAGGTGACTAAACAGATGTACAATATTCTATGTGTGGACGAACTAATGATTTAAATAGTTTCATCAAAATATCAAATTGTTTATAGGCAATTGTGAATTTTATCATTCTTAGAATCTTGTTTGCATTGCATAAGCCCTCATACACTGGTTAGAAGCATTAAATCATTTGATATTACAACCCTAAGGTCTTTTTCAGTCTTAATTTCTTCTAAAATAACCCTGTTTATATACTGTATTCATAACCAATGTTCTTTTTTCCAATGTGCATAATTTTGCATTTTATAAAATTAAATTGCATTTGTCATTTAATAGACAACTTAACAAGCTTTTGCAGATCTTCTTGGAGTTACAAACCATCACTTCTGATATTAACTTTAAAGAATATTTTGGTATCCTCAGCAAATTTTAATATATATCAAAAATAGGATTGGACCTAATACTGATCCTTGCGGTATGCCACAAAGTACTTTCATAAAAGAAGAATTTTTGCCATTTAAAACTACTCGTTGAACCCTGTTAATCAACCAAGAATTTATCCATTGAAAAAGTTTGCATTCAATTCCATGACTATACAGTTAATTTAGCAATCTTTGATGAGGAACTTTATCAAAGGCTTTTGTGAAAAATAAGTATCACATCTACACAATCTTGATTGTTAACAAATCCTGTTACCTGCTTCAAAAACAATAAATTGTTCAAATAGGATTTTCCTTTCTTGTATTTGTGTTGCAAGTCTACTATTACTTGATTCATTTCAAGGTAATTGACTAAAGCATCCTGTATTAGTGATTCAAATAGCTTATAAGAAAAATGTTTAAATAAAACGTTTAGGATAAATTTTTTGATTAAGACTAAATAATAAATGTATATCAATAAAACTAAAAAAATTGTTTTAGTTAAAGATTGATTTTATTTGATTCTTGGAGTCTTGATAATATATGGAACAATACTACTTTAAAATTTACAAAAAAATGCAGTAAAAAAACAAAACTTTACTCGAATATTTCACTGAACAACTTTCTCTGGTAGTTTTTTTCACTAAACAACTTTCTCTGGTAGTTTTTTTTCTAGTTTTTTTCACTAAACAACTTTCTCTGGTAGTTTTTTTCCTTGTAGTCTTTTTCACTAAACAACTTTCTCTGGCAGTTTTTGTTTCTAGTAGATTTTTTCACTAAACAATATTTTCTAGTGGTTTTAAAACAACTGAAAACATTTTAGCTTAACTATTTAAAACTGCTTTTTCTAAATTACTTTTTTTTTGAAGATATTTTTTACAAATTTTAATTGTTTAAATAAGGTTTTTTTTGCACAGACAAAGTGACAAATTGACAAATAAACCAAAAAGACAGCAAGCTAATGAAATGCTGTAGAAAGGACACAAAAAGTATATACTTATTGTTTTTATTGAATAGTAACTTTTTAATCAAATTTTAAAATGACACTTTGCACTATTATTGTTGCTATATTAATGCAAACACATCTCACAAGTATCTTTTCATTGATTACAGGTTTTCTTTGTCTTTTTAAAAATTTGAACTTAATTAACATAATTATCAGCATTTTCTAATTAAAAAATTAACAAATTAAATTAAATAAAAATAAATAAAATAAATAAAAATAAATAAAAATAAAAAAAAAATTAACCAAATGTCCCTAATAAATACTGCTATTTATCCAATTTTATTATTAATCAAGACATCATATTGATACGAAGAAAAAAACTAACAGCGATCAACAGCCTACAAAGAGGTTATTGATCATCGCAAATAAATTAAATTCTGTAAAAAGTAAATATAACATTCTATAATACTTGCAAAAAAATCCAATCAAAAAATAACACTAATAAAAAAAACAAAACAAATTAAAAATAAAAAAAGATACATCAATTAAAAAATGATCTTGACTATTGTTAAAAACAAGTTGCGCTATAAAAATTTAGAAACTATACATAATATTTATAATTCTATTACAAAAAATAATTTTAGGGATTTAAAGTAAAATTATACAAATAAGATTTTAAAGTGCTCCTAACATATAAGTTTTTTTTCTTTTTCCCTAAATTGTAATAATAAATGCATGCTAACAAAAAGCAATTGCCGAAATCACTAAAAAACAACTCCATTTTGATTTCATTTTTTCACCATTGAAACTCGATTGTTAGTCGTTAAAAATCACGTTAGTACGTCACAACAACTTTAGAATATCTACTTCGATTTTCAAGTAAAAAAAAGTCGTGATTAAATAGTTAAGTTTTAATCAAGTTTTTAAAATTAGTTTTGCAAAAACAGTATGATAGCATTCGGTTGAAAGACGTCGTTAAAAAAAAGTTATTAAGTAATAGTTTTAAATAGTTTAGAACTTATAAAAAAGTCTTACAGGGCTCGTATTAAGCGTATCGCGATCGCGATTGCTACACACATTTTTGTGATTAGTTTTTTCTTAAAAAAAATCTTTTCGCAACTTTTTTTTTTCAATTTTCTTTCAACGTAAAACATTTTTGAATTTAAATTACATTAAATCTCTGCGTGGAAAATTTTTACAAGGTCGTTAAAGCGAAAAGTTAAAAAGTTGGTTTTTATCTTTGTTTATCAAAACTTCATGTTTAAAATAATGCTTAAAAACGTTAGAGCAAAAAAATTACTGACTTTTATTTGCATTTTTATACTGTTTGAAAAAAAAAACTAATAAAAAAGAATTAATATATAATTATTAATTAATATATTATTAGTTAATTCTTTTTTATTAGTTTTTTTTTTCAAACAGTATAAAAATGCTAATAAAAACCAGCAATTTTTTTACTTTAACGTTTTTAAGCCTTATTTTAAACATGAACTATAATTTGATTTATTAAACCAAATTTTTTTGTTTTATCTTTTATTGGAAAACTTGAAATAGAAAAATTGAATAAAAACATCAACCATTTAAATGAAAAACTTAATTATATTTGAACTTTTATTAGTCCTTTATTCAAGAAACAATAAATTATAAAAAACGTGGTATCTAATTTTTTATTAAATTTTTGTCTTAGTTTAATTTCTAATAAAATGTCTATTCAACCTTATCAATTTGAACCAAAAAAATATAGCAATTTAACATAAATGTTAATTTAACTAAAACATTTTACAATCATTATTTTTTTTATCAAGCAAAAATGAGTGTAACCGTCACTTTTGAAACCATAAAAATTACTGAAATAAATTTATTTTTTTACCAAGGAAATATTTTAAATAAACTTTCATATGTCTAGGTCAATATTCATTTGTTTTTAACTGACTAAAAAGAGTTTAAAATTTGACTTCTATTCATTTTTAGCCGTGGAACTGTCCTTACAACACAAATATATAAATTAATATTATAAAAAAAATTTTAATATACAAATATATTTTCACAAAATGCTACAAAACTTATTCTTGTAAGTTATTATGTGTTAGTTGAAAAAAAACGACTTTACTTTTAAATTTAATTACCAACTAATAAGTTTGCAATAATGACATTTTGTCTACTTTGTTTAATTTGACGTACTAACGTTAATTTTTGAGGCAATAGAGTCAATAAACTTTGGACAAGGCGCATTTTTTTTAATCGAAGAAAAGTTTTTTTGAAAATTAAATTTGTTAGTGTGTGTTCATTATTACGTTTAAAAAAAAATAATATACACCAAAAAAAATTTTTTTTTAATGCTCTATCATATGAGATCATATCTTTGTAGCACTTAGGGATCCATTTAAGATTTTGGGAGAAAAAATACTTTAAAAATCATTACACAATGACATTATAGACCGCAACTGTTATGATTTAAATGTGTATGAGATAAATTACTAATTCTATCGATAGCAGCGTAAATTATAAAGATTCGAAGAACAGAGTAAAATGGAGGAGAGCTTTCACAAAAATGACAATTTAAATTTCATTGATACATCAAATTACTTAGTTTTAATAAAAAAATTAGCCCTAAGGTTTCTTTTAAACATTTTTTAAAATATGAACACAACTTGTCTTGGTTAAATATTTTTTTCTATAACCTTTAAAACCTTAGTTTTTTATTATTTATTATACTTTTACTGCTTTTTTACTAAAAGTAAACTATGGTAAATGATCTATTTATCTATTTTTAGAAAACTAGTTACACCCAACTAGACAATATAAGTATCCGACCTGATGAGAAGAAAAATATTCCCTACTTTAGACCCAAAAAATACTTAAACAATAAGATTATACTCAAATTATAAAAATTTGAAACAATAAAACATAATAAAAATATTCATACAACAAGCCTAATAGTTTCCCAGGCAACTAAAACATCTGGATCCACTCCATTAACAAGATACTTGTCAGGAACATTATCAACAACAAAATAGCAGCTATCATAAAAATAAAAATATATGCAATAAAATAAGGTTCACTAGTAAAATTAATTTAAAACATAAGAACAAAGAGATACAAAAAATAAGGTTCAGCTGTTAAATCATAATTTAGTTTTATCAATTTGTTATTTAGACGGGTTTTTTCAAACCAAAAAATGCAGTTTATGTTGTACTTTATTCAGTGTATTAACGCAAGATTGACCCTATAAGTTCATAATTTTGTCTGTTTACAACACATGAATCCAAAATCGTTCCTTCGTTTAGGAATTTGAAATATAATGATTAGTTAAAATTTCTTAACCCCTTTCCACATAGAGTATTATGTATGATAAAACTAAAGTTTAAGGATAATATCACTACACGTAATTTCAACAATATATTTTAATAGGATATATTGCTAAAAAACTTTTTACAAGATTACCTATAAAACTTTCAAATTCTCTTGTTATATAGACTATAGTCTTATTCTAAACCAACTGAACAACAATTTATGTTTTTCAGTAAATATTTATAAAATTCAGAAAAACTAAGATTAAAAAATTAAAATGGGTAAATTTATACCAATTTTAAGTTACATTTTTAATAAAGTTTTTTAAGTTTATATTGATATTTAAATTTGTTTTATGTAATTGTATTTGATATGATACAGTGTTAAAGGAATATTTATGTAAACATAGTTTTATTTAATACTATGCATATTTTTAAAGTTAATTAAGTTTTGATTTCTGTGACACAGAAATTTAAACTTAATTAACTTTAAGAATATGCTTAGTATTAAATAAAACTATGTTTTCTTGAAAAATAATACTGTATTTGTCCACTGTGAAGCCATAAAACTTTGTTATTTGCAGACAAACAGTAACAGTGTTTATATATATATATATATATATATATATATATATATATATATATATATATATATATATATATATATATATATATATATATATATATATATACGTGGCGATTATATGTAGTAAATATCAAAAGATGGCTTGCATATAACAGATTATATATTGTTATTTTTCTATTAGTAGTATTTTATTAACAATAAAATAATGGTGCTGCGATACAATAATGGGTCTGATTTGACTTTATAGATGATCCAGACAATGCAGAAGCATGGATTAGATGCTTTTCAGCTTCCGCACGTTCAAAGAAATTAAAAGACGAGATAAATGGTAGCTACAAGATAACAGATTTATTTGTGGCAAAAGCAGGTATTGAAGCTGTTAAAAAGATTTCCCTTATGGTATATCCAGAAGAACTAGAAAATATGATGTTTGATGATATTAAAACTGTTGTTATGTCCCATTTTTGGACCTCAAAAACAACCAATTATTGCTGAAAGAGTTTGATTTTTAGCATTAAAACAACAAAACAATGAAAACATTATATGCACTAAGATTACGCAAAGCTTCACATTTTTGCAACTTCAAAAAATTAGGGGGGGGGGGGGGGGGGAAGGGAAATGGCAAAGTGCGGAAGATGATTTAATTCAAATGAGATTGATTGATGGTCTCCAATCTTCCGATCAGCTCTAGAAATGCTACAGAGCGGAGAGTCGCCTAAACTAGAAACATTTATTTATTTAATCAGTTAACTTGAACCAATATCTGCTTTTAGTATACAAAGCAACATTGAAAACAATGTAGACCTCGCTTCAGTTAATATTGATTAAAATAAAGAAAAAACAATTAAATGCAATTATTGTGGCCTTTAACACCTACATAGGAAGTGCCTGGCGAGGGTTGCTCCAAAGGATTCCTCCTGGTGAAAGCAAATGGGCCTCACCACTTGTGGTTGTAAGAAAAACAGATGGAGATTTACGCATATATGCAGATTACAAAATAGGTGTTAACCAAAAAATATGCTCAGATTCATACCCTATTTCAAATATTGAGACTGTATTTCATAAAATGACAGGAATGAAATATTTTGCTAAAATTGATCAAGGGAGCTTATCATCAAATTGAGATGGAAAAAGAGGCACAAGAAATAACAAGTTAATACCCCTATCGGATTGTTAAGATATACATGTTTATCTTTTGGAATAAAAAATGCAAGTGCGATATTCCAAAGAGTAATAGAATCTGTTGTTGGTGATATTATTCCTAATATGATTATATTTCAAGATGATATATGTGTCTGTGGTAAAAGTGCTGAAAAACTTAAATCGAATTTGAGTAAAATTTTGAGCAAATTGAAGGAAATGGGAATGAGTATAAATAAAAGAAAGCTAGTAAATAAAAGTCTTTCATTTTTAAGATGCAAACTGTCAGAGTCTAATGTTGTACTACTACTACTACTACTACTACTACTACTACTACTACTACTACTACTACTACTACTACTACTACTACTACTACTACTACTACATACATATATAAGTACGTACATGCATACATAAATACATATATAGATACGTACATGCATACATAAATACATATATAGATACGTACATAAATACATATATAGATACGTACATATATATATATATATATATATATATATATATATATATATATATATATATATATATATATATATATATATATATATATAATATTTTAATGACATATTAATAGTATGATAAAATTTATATATAAAATTGAAAATACATCATGTACGGCGACATACTATTTAACTATTAAAATTTTTTTAAATTTTAAATGTAATATTTCGGCTCATAGTTGGAGCCATTTTCAAACTAAAATACATTACAAAAAATTCGTTATTTACAAAAATGATGTCATTGCTGCATAATATTTTTTTATAAAATTATGCAGCAATGACATCATTTTTGTAAATAACGAATTTTTTGTAACGTATTTTAGTTTGAAAATGGCTCCAACTATATGAGCCGAAATATCACATTTAAAATTTAAAAAATTTTAATAGTTAAATAAGATGTCATTAAAATATTATATATATATATATATATATATATATATATATATATATATATATATATATATATATATATATATATATATATATGTATATATATGCATACATTAGGGTGATCATTAAAACAACTTTTTGTGTCTGCTCTTACTCTCTAAATGTGTTCCATATAATAAAATAATACTGGAACTTAAAAATTAAAAAAATATATTTATAGGGGTAGCTCAAGACCTTTAAACATTAGATGGGTCCCTATAATTATTAACAAAAAAAATTATTATTTTAGATTTTAGTGAACAAAAAATGTTTTTTAACTAATAAAGAAAAAATAGATAATTTAACTAGATTTTTTTACTATAATTTTATTAACAATGTTTTTTTATAAAACATAGATCATCCTAGTCATATTTTAAAAATTCGGAAAATTATTTGAATAAAATATCAGGAAAAAATCCGGTATGTATTTTTCCTTATTTTCTTTTTAATTTTGCATTCAGCTATATTGTTTTTATTTTTTTGACACTTTTCATATTTTTCTATGAGTGATTAATGAAAAAGCCTAAAAATCAAATAAATTACAAAAATATATACCTCCACTTGCACATTTTGAAAATGTTTTGAATATCCGGAAAAACTAAAAGTTGAAAAAAATATCCGGATTTCCGGAAATATCTAGAAAAAAATCTGATAAAATGATGATTATTTAAAAAAATTGTGCTTCTTTTGATAGCAAACATGATACTCTTATGAAGAATATTTTTTTGATAATTATAGGGCCTCATCTGATGTTAAAAGGTCTTGAGCTGATAATTATAGGGCCTCATCTGATGTTAAAAGGTCTTGAGCTACACTTAAAAATATTTTTTTTCAAAAAAATTTTATTCCAGTATTATTTTATTATACCAAACACATTTAGAGCAGAAATTTAAAAATAAGGTGTTTTAATGGTCACCCTAACATACATAGATACATATACATAGATACATATACATACATATATATGTATCTATGTATATAAAATAATAAATACATATACATATATATATATATATATATATATATATATATATATATATATATATATATATATATATATATATATATATATATATATATATATATATATATATATATATATGAAAAATAAACAATCAAAATTCTTAATTTTGTCAAAGATTAGAAAAGATGATTCTGTCAAAGATAAGAAAAGAAGATTAACATGTAAATTTAATACTTACAAAATGTTGAATAAAGTTCATAATTCTTTTCAAGAATACTAAACAGGAATGCATTATATGCAAAAAAAAAAAAAAAAAAAAAAAAAAAATACATATCAAAAATTCCTTAACTTGTAAAGTTTACAATTTACATATTTTATATACTGGCAGATAACGAAAATAGGCTCATTTTTATCCAAAATAACATCAAATAGAGTGCATTCTTTAGAAAAAGATGAACATTAAGGAACAAAGAAAAAAAAAAACAATTTATAATATTTAAAGAATTTATATCTGGTTTCTAAACAAAAGGTATATTAATATATAAGTATATGCCTAAGCCAAACAATGTGATTGAAGGAATATTTGCGAATCAAAGGAAAATGTTCAATAACACTAGATAACAAAGATAAAACAACTTAATTTTAATTATATTCACAGAACAAGTAGTTAAGCTAAAAATTGCAAGAGGTTTAAGATTCTACAGATAAATACTAATATGAAAAAGAATATTTGAAAAAGATTGACTACAGTACAGATGTATTTAATTTTTAATATGGTATTGACAATAAAACATAATAAAAGAATAACAATAAAATAGAATCAGAGATCAGTACAGATCAGAGATATAATATATCAACCAGATAATCTAATCACTAGTTGCATACTAGGGTTAAAACTTTTTAAAATTTTTTGTTTCCAATATGTAAAAAAATAAACTTTTTAGTTTAAAATTAGTTAAAAAATCATTAGTTCATTTACATTTTAAAAAACATCACCCTGCATTACATGCTTGGCCTTATAACAGAAAAATTTTTTCCTCTAAAAGCATTTATATCTGGGTCTCAAAAATTTTTTCAGAGGTTTTAGAAATAGCAATGGTTATAAATAAAAATCAATTTAATAATATTGTAAACAAAAAGTCATCTTTTATATTTTGTAGAAATAATTTTAAATTTCCTAATTATAGAAACTTAAAAAATAAAGTTTGAAAAAAACTAAAACAACTAATACTTTGATTGCAAAAAAACTTCTTTATTAAATGTTGCAATTCTTTTCTTTCTATAATTGCTTGATTGGTTTTTCTGCATTGAATTTGATGATGGACTGGAATAATGAAAATTTAAAAGTCTCAACGAAGAAGAAACATCACCACTCTAAATATTTACAATTAAATTTAGAATAACTTTTAAACACAAAAAAAAAAATGTTTAAAACAACTTTTTATTTAAGTTATTACAAAATAAATTTGTTTGTAGTCAATAATAAATCTTAATAATAAAACCAAAACATTTCAATTTAAAATTATATTTTAGAGATATTATTAGCGAACTATTAGCTCTCACACATAATTAGAAACTTCTAAAACCAAACAAAATTTTTTTTATTTGGTTTTAGAAAATTCTATAGAAATTTCTTTAACAGCGGTAGTGGTGTAATGCTTGCTTTATTAGAGAGAGGTTCTAAGTTCAATCCCCACCATGCCCTACGTAGTATCGCAACTTGTTTCTCCACACAGCAACCTTGTTCATTAAGGTTTGTGTTTCAGAATTATAGAGTCGAGAGAGGGTTAAAAGCACAATTAAGTTGCCTACTTATTTGTAGTGGTCTTCTCAGCTTTGGGGAGGTGAATTAACATTAAACAAAAAAAACGAAACAAAAAACTTATTTAAAGGAGTTTTAAACCTTCGAGACATGCTGTGTTCATATTTAAGAGAATGATAAAAAAAAAATGTTAGGGCTAATTTTTTTTGATTAAATCAAAAGAATAAATGCATACCAAGAAAAACTAACTTTTTTATTTTAGTCTAAGCTTGCCTTTTTTGTTTTGTTGTAGGCCAAATAGTCAGCATAATGTATGCCACAATCTACTGACTTGATAATTTATTCAAGCGCAGGCCTTGCGATAAAGCGTCGGGCGATGTGAATTTTACGTCGTTTAAGAGCGATTTTGCGTGTAGCTAGGGCTATTTACGTCGAGCAAAAAAATTTTTGTTTGAGTATATTTAAAGATATTTTTGAGCGCAATTTTAATGAAGTAATTTACGATTATTTTAACATTTAATAAAGTATTTTAAAAACCACATGCAGTTGATATAAAAGTTTGAAATACAAAAAAATTAAATATGCTCATTATTTACAAGTAGAAAAAATTCAGATTAAAAAAAAAAGTTTAATCTTTTTAAGCTAACATTTTAATAAAATTATTTAGCAATAGCAAAGTTGTCGATAAAATTGAACAAAAATATTTTCGTTTAGTTTTAGATTTTTAATTTAAATAATTATTTTACGGGGGTTTATTAGGTTTTAAAATTATTCCATAGATTTAAAATATTTATTAACTGTTTGATGTATTTAAAGAGTAATTTCGAGGAAACATTTTAAAAATTGGTAAGCGCAAATAAAAAATATTTTATTTGCGCAAAGATTTTTATTCTAACATTTTATTTTATTTTACTAGAAATAAAATTCCTTGTAAACATTAAAAATCTATTCAAAACGTTCGTTAAAGTTTTTTAGTAATACGAGTGATTTTGCTTATCAACCGCTTTATGAAAATAAATAAAAATAAGTTAATAAAAAATTATTATATAAAATCGCTGGTAAAAATATTAGCTATTGCACAGTTTTTAATCGAACAATATTAAAATTTCCAGTTTATTACTCTCTGACTTTTTAAAAAGAAAAAATAGTTATTTGAAAAACTTTAAATTACATATTTGAGAAGAAAAAAAATTCAAATATTAGCATTTATAATTTTTTTAAATGATTAGTTATAATGTCTTTTATTCGTTTAGTATAGACAAAACGTGTCAAACGTCAAGAAAATAAACAAATGTTTTTACATATTAAAAAATGAAACATTCCAAAACATTTTAAAATAATAACATTTCTACATTAATGATTTCAAGTAGTTTTGCGGTAATTAAGTAAATTGGTGCAGTTAATGTCGATAAATATGAAAAGCAAATAAAAAGAATTTATAGACGTCAAAAATCAGGCCGTGCTTATGCGTCGTGCAGTTTTTATTCATCACAAGGCCTGCAAGTGTGTTTTATTATTAAGTGTTTTAGTACATGACATCATTGACTCTTGTTTGTTTACATAATCGATCTTTTACACAAACAAAAAAAATCAATGATATCATGTACCGAAACTCTTAGAAATAAAAGGCGCTTGGATAAATTATTAAGTCTGTCGATTGTGGCATATATTATGCTGAATTTTTGGCCGACAACAAAACGAAAAAGGCAAGCTTCAACTAAAATAAAGAAGTTTGTTTTTCTTGGTATGCATTTATTCTTTTGTTTTAATCAAAAAAATTTAGCCTAAACATTTTTTTTATCATTCTCTTTAGAAGAACACAAGGGTTTGGATGTTATAGGGGTTCCAAACCCCTGTTTGTTTCAAACAGGGGTTTGGAACCCCTTTAACATCTAAAAATTTTTCCTAATGTTGTAAGCTTTTTCAAAATTTTTTTTGAACTTTTGATAGTTTTTTAAAACTGTCTTTCTGAAAATGCTAATATATATTTGTTTTTTCTTTTTAATTCTTAACCAGGATATACATACATAGGTAATCATACACAGTCATAACCATTCATAAAAAAAAAGGGAGGTTGGAGTGGCACCCATCACTTCGAGTTAAAAAAAAATTAAAAATGTAAATTAAAAGTAAAAACAGTTTATTTATATTATTCTATATTAAAAGTTAGATCAACTTACAAAAAACTCTTTATCAAGAGGTTCAGAAGAATCCAATTTTTTTAAATTTCTTGTGTAAGACTGATCTTTTTTTGCACGATTATAGCTCTGCCTGACAGACTTGGTAACATTACGATTTGGAGATGCTCCTAAACCTCAACAAAACATAACACATTATAACATTTATTTTTCATTTTTATAAAAATATTTATAACATTATTGGGCAATATGATAATTTTATAACAATATACTTTTTTTATTGGGCATCATGATATATTCATTATATACTTTTAGAGACAAAGCTTAATTTTAATTTTTCATAAAAACTGTGACAAAATTTTTAAACATAATTTGTGTTAAAAGTTAAATACTATTTCTAACCAATTATATTTAATCATCCAATTAAAATTTACTCCATTTTAATTGGATGTAAATCATGTTAATTGCCATGAAATAATTAATGATTTTTGATTTTAGTTTTGAAGTTTTTCACATTTTTACAATTATTTTTTTGAGATACTATACTTTTGAGATACTACTTTTAAGATTAAATTTTTTGATGAGTTCTAGGGCTGGGCTCACTTTCCCTAATACTTAGATTTATTCACTTCATAGAAATAGTTTTAAAAGTCAATTAATTTAACAGCAAATTTATATTTCAGTTAACTATAAAAATTATAAATATAAAAACCATTGTGGATATAATCAATTTAATAATCAAGTGTGGATATAATCAATATAATATATTATTAAGAACCAAGTGTGGAGCCAACTGATAACAGTTTGACTTATTTTAAAGATTTGATTTCAAAAATATTGCCTATGGATTTATGTACCTTTTTTTAATGTATAATTAGTAAAATTTATGTAAATTTAAGTTAACGTTTAACAAAAGTATTTAAGAAAATAATTGGTTATCATCACTGAAACAGTTTAAAACTAAGAATTAATTGTATTTAGTTTTTTTAAATAATATTCTTAAAAAATACATCTCATACAAAAAATACCATTAAAATTTCTTCCTTTAAATTTAGTTTTTTCAGTTTCATACTCTAAGCTAAGTCCAGGAGTCCATCGATTTACATGATGATGTATAGGTTGATTTTGGACTTGTCCGTTAGAATGATGCATCTTTTATATCTTTAGATTGACCGAAAGTCGTAATATCTCTGCTTAAATTTTTCCTATCATAAAATAATAAACTCTCCAGCCAAAATAGGCAGAAATGAGAGCTGCCTAAATATTTACAACAAATGTCTTCACTTATAGCCAAGTAAGGCGTTGCTTCATTATAATTTACAATGTTGTTGCTCATCTTTAGCACTCCATGATTCTACAACAACAGTAATTTGGTTTTAATGCTAGTACCTAGTTATTTTTTATGTAATTTTTTTAATACAGCTGATGATGTTAATAAAATTTAAGTTGGAGACAATAGTTTCTCCAACTAAAGCTCAGAAAGTAACGCCAGAGCAAAACGGAAGACGCAAAAAAATATGTTAGATTTTGTAACGTTTTAAGAAATCGGGTCGTCAGTGCGAGAACACGCTTGACTGCAATGATCGCTAATAAATAATACAAAAAGTAAACAGCGCATAATTGACCAAGGATTTATAAATTCAAGATGAAGGACTAACTATTTAATAAAGGTTACAAGTACATCCTCTTGATGTCAATATCATGTCGCCTGTACCGTTTGCCTTGGAATTCATATGTGTATTTTTTGTTACGTTAATAATACTTCATCAATATGGAGATTTACGAAAACAGCATGTTTTAGTAACACTTGCGGTATTTATTTCGTGGTTTTTCTCGTTTCTTATTGTATTTATACTTCCACTTGACGTTTCAAACAGTTGCTACTTAGAGTGCTTAAAGCGTTCGAATTCAACCAATATGCTTAAAAATATTTATCCACTAACTAGAACTGATTTTGAAAAGCAAAGGGATGAGAAGCCTATTTGTTTTGTTCCTTGGTCCTATGTATCTGGTGATCTGTTACCTTATTTATGGCGTGTTATTTATTGGTCTTCGCAATTATTATCATGGATTATTTTACCTATGATGCAATCTTATGTTTATGCTGGTTCGTTTACTGTTTGGGGTAAAATAAAAACAGCTCTATATGAAAATGCTATTTGGTATGGGAGTTACTTAGTTATATTTGGTGCATTATTAATTTACGTTGCACTAAAACCAGAGTTAGCAATTAATTCAGATAGTTTAAAGTTAATTGGAATAACTGCATCAAATACATGGGGTTTATTGCTTTTAGTATTGTTACTTGGTTATGGATTAGTTGAACTGCCAAGAACTTCATGGAATATGTCACAATCTGATCTAAGACTTGAACATACTTACTTCAAAGTCTCTAAGTTAAGCACTTCCAAAGAAGATGCAGATGAAGAACTAGCAGATACTCTTAACCAAGTAAAAAAAGCATCAGAAGAAATAAAATATAATAGCAATTTAAGAAAACATTTAGATGTAATCATTAAAAAATGTCCTGAAAGTAGTGTTGCGCTTTTTTGTAAGGGTAATGATGATTTTTTAGACTACAAAGCAGGTAATCTTGAGTTTAATGAAAAAGCTCTTGTAAACTTACATAAAAAAGTAATGGTGATTACCCAGCGTGCTCATCGAACACATGTTCAGTGGAATGCTTTACTTAAGTTAGCATTTTACTTAGAAGATGTTGAGAGAAATAAATCTAATACTGATAAAAAGTTTAAATTATCATTCTCTGAATATACTCAGAAAAGTATTCTTGCTATGCGCTTATTATGGTTTTGGGAGATAATCATAAAACCTTGGATGTTTCGTGTACTCTCGTTGCTTTTATTGACATTAAGTATTTGTTTGGTTTGGTCAGAGTCAACATTTTTTATGACTGAGCCTGTTTTATCTATATTTACGCATCTTATTAATATAACAAAACACAATTATTTATATTTTCAAATTGAAGTTGTATCCTGTGTGACCATAGCTTATATGTGCATTTGCACATATTATACTGTTTTTAAAATTAAAATATTTAATTTTTACTATTTTGAGCCTCATCATGAAACAGATGCCAACAGTTTGCTTTTTAGTGGGCTGCTGTTTTGTCGCCTCACTTATGCTATATGTTTAAATTTCCTTGCTATGATACACATGGATGGACATGTTACTGGAAGAAGTGGAACTAAAATTAGTGAGACATATTTTACACAGTTTATGGGTCATATGGATTTGCTTTCTTTCATTGCAAAAGGTTTTAATTTGTATTATCCAATAATAGTTTTGCTTGTTTGTGTATGTACTTTTTTTAGTATTGGTAATCGGTTATTACATTGTCTTGGAATTCAGCAATTTTTAAGTGACGACGACTTTTCAGCAGATTTTGTTCGTGAGGGTAAAGAGATAGTCAGGCGTGAAAAAAGAAAAATTGAAAGACAAATAAATGGCAAAAATTGGTCAGCAAGATCTAAAGCTGTATCTGATCGCTATGTTGGTGAAAAAAGTCTGGAACATACTGAAAATAATTCAGATGACTCTATATTAGAAACATCAAATTTAAGTTCAAAAACAAGACTTAACGTTAACAAACCAATGCTGTATTCAAAATTAAATCATAGTGAGGACAAAGTTAATTTAATTTCTGATATTGAGTATGCACCTCCAGAAACAAATGACAGGGTTGTAAAAGGTTATCAAAATATAAAGGGAGTTTCCCTTTCCAATGTTCACTCAAGTGTTTTGAGTCGTTCAAGTGTACCAAGAAATATATTTGATGATGCATAATTAAATATAAATCTATGGTTGTATTTATTTTTACTTTAATTGTGAACACATTTTGAATTGTTTATAATATTTAAGAAATTTAAGCATTTGATTTATTTATACTACTTTATAACGCATTTTTTAAGGTTTTTGGTTTCCTTCCTTATGTATTATATATTTATTATATGATCATGATTTATTATATGATCAAAATTTCCTCTTCAAAAAGTCTTGCTTTAAGTCAACGACATCGCTCTATGCGTTGTGAAGCAGTTGCAATTACCATAAGTGCGCTAAAAGAATTTGTAAATATATCCCAAAGTTTAAAATTAAAACAAATTAGTACTTACGACAGTTTATACTTATGCCAATGTTTAAAAATTCATTTGGTGCACTTATGACAGCTCGCACTTGAGCCAGTTTTTACAACTGCTTTGCACTTATTCAGTCCTCCCTATTAAATATGGTAATTTTCAAATTTCTTAATTTTTTTTTGTACATTATGCAAGCCGTGGCGCAGTGGTAGCGCACTTGCCTCATATATAAAGGTCCGTAGTTCAAACCTCACCTCTGAACAAGTTTTGCGACATCGGTTGGGAGGGAGGCGTTCACTTCCAATTAAATGCTCATTCGCGGTGCTCTGTGATTAAACTGTAAAGACTTAATGGGGCACCTAAATAAAATAAAAAAATTGAAAACCAAGAAAATAAAAAATGTTTGGGTCATTATTTTTTTTGCAAAAACAATGACCCAAACATTTTTATAAGCCCAAATAATCTTTACTGACACAATTTACGAAATCAATCAATCATATCGGACACAATACGAAATCAATCATGGCTTAATCGATTTTTACGGTTACACAAACTTGTGTGATCGTAAAGATTGATTGATTGGACCATGTTACTACAATTTTTTAGTTGTTATAAATTTTTTGCAATAAATTTACTTTTTATTAGTGAAACAGTATTTGCCATGCGTACTTTTAAGATCCTCCGTCCCCCCTAAAAAGTACGCACGTTGTTGAAATACTTCCCCTTTCCCCCACCCACTCTCCCTCCTCTTTGCTTTATTAATAAATAATTTTATAATTTAAGCAAAACTGTATAAATTAGGAAATATTTTGTAAAATAGAACGTTCGTCAAGTTGATCATACCCCTTCCCATTATTTATTAACCGCTTTTTGCAGACCCCTTTTCCTTCTAATCTCCCTTAGATACTTTATACGACCCCAAAGCCCTTGAATTTGGTACCGGATCCTAATTTTGAAGAAATATATATATATGTATATTGTCTCAAAAATTAATAAAGTTTTTGCTAATATAGTTGATTTTCTAAACTCTCAATTCAAATGATTAAACTATGATATTAAATCTGAATCCATTTATAGTTACAACTTGGGTTTATCTATTTCAGACATTATTAATGAACTTATCGGTTTAAACCCTTATAAAATTTTTTTCCATTTTAAAAAATCTTTCATGAATCCTTTAATTCTGGAATCCACTCTTTGCAAAACATATTGTCTGCGTTAGGCCTAATTGCTATTGAGGCAGAAATAGCAGCTCAATTAAATTTAACATGAGTTATAAACCGATTTGCAAATACTAAATGAAAAAAACTTTTATTAGATTTTTTACTCATTGTATTTATTTAGTTTATCACACTCATTTTTATTTTATTATAATTGTATTTAAGAATAAGATTTTTGTTTCCATCTATAATTTTTAACACTGCTAAATGTATAATGAGTAACACTGCTTTACTTACAAGTCTAATCTAAGAATTATTTAGTATGCTGCCTTAAAATTTTATTAACTTCTGAACAGAAAGGATCCCAAAGTAAAATGATGAGTTAGATGATAAAAACGTCTTCACCAAAAATAAATTCATTAAAATGTTATAATAATACACCAATCACTAAATCATCTTTTATGTTGTATAATATAGCATTTAGTTTTACTAAAGTAAACTAAAGCAGTATATTTTGTCTATTTATTTAAAGTAACAACAGTACTTTGCGCAGAACATTTTGAGGAATTAGCAAGCCTGATATGACTAATTGTGATGATGTCAAAGAGTTTTTTTTAACAGTTGAGATTATAACAGAAAAAAATTATGACAGTCGCAGATCTAAGGAGTGGTTATTGTAGCTACACAGTTTAAAGTTGTACTGATTACGCTTAAGTGGCTTTAAAAATAAAAACTTGACGACGATTAAAGCTTTGCTTTTTTTTTTGCGGTATTAAACCACTAAAAATTTATATAATTGTCAACGCAACAAAACTTTATATTTAACTTGACAGACGTTTTGTTTTATTATTGTTTTCAAAAAAATATTATACTATCAATTTTTCAACCGTAAAAATATATCTCGTCTTCATATACGGTTTTAACATGCTCGTTTTATAAAAATATGATGTTAAATACGGACTATCATTAACAAGATTTTATTTGCAAATAAACATCGTTGCAAAAGCATTTATAGGATGAAAACGTCTTTAATGTTTTTATCCAATATATTGTTTGAGTTTTGATTGGCTGTTTGAGTTTGGCTGTTTTGATTGGCTGTTTGAGTTTGGATAATAAAAGTTACCGCGAAACTGAAAAATGAATCTCCAAGATCTTTCTTGCTGTCAGACTTGCTGCTTTCTTTTAAAGACGGTTGATTTCTATTAGGAGAGTGGAAACAAGCAGTTTATGGTTATGTATTACTGAGTCATTGGATAAGAAATGTTTAGATTTTTTAGACGTTTTGCATAATAGAAAATGCAGAAGTAACAGTACTTATCATAAAAATTTGAAGGAAATTTCACACATCACTTCATATAGATTTTTTTTTTTTTGGTATAATAAGTTTTTATAAGCATTTATAAAATTGCAAACTCATAACGTATGTTTTACTATTTTTTTAAACCTATTTTCAAGATTTTTTTGCAATATTTGCATGTAAAATAAGGTGCTCAGGACTTTTCCTAATTCCTTGACAGACATGAAAAAAGTTGTCTTATAGACGTCGCACATTTTGTAACTTGCTTCCATAGAATACATTTTTAATCTTGTTTTTACAAAATGTCCCCCTTTTTTCCAAACACACATTAAAATGCATTAGCTAAAAGCTAGCAACCTTATAATGTCATTTAAACTAAATATTTTTATTATTTGTTTGTTTGCGTTTGTTTTGTCTCGTCATAAAATGCAAAGTATGTGAGATTGATTACACAAGGAAAATTTGACGTTGTAATCCCCACCCAGGAACCCAATTCCCAACTAACCCTCTATTCTTCTTTGCCATTACTATCTTTTACAATAAGTTTATATATTTTTTTCCCCTTCTTCATTTTATTATTTTAACAACATCGTTTTTCTGTCTATAATTTATCTGTTTTTATTACTTACTTATAAAATTGCGAACCATATAATGAAGATGCAGAGGCGTAAATTGCGAGAAGGTCTGGAAAAATATAATTAAAATAATGTGATAAACTAATTACATGATAGATACTTTATAGAAATGTTTGTAAAAGAATGGAAACTTTCAAAAAAGAAAAAATGGAAACAAGTTCAAAGTATGGTTAAAAACATTTTTAGCCACCTGATTGACAATAGTAAGATCCTGGGATTAATGGCTCGTGATTTGTCACTTGCGACTTATGTTTGGTAATTAAGAGATAATGGGACGCTTTGGAGCGAAAACAAAAGAGCCCAGACATTTAATATATCTGCTCCTCGCCCCTAGCAAAATTACGTAACACCGCTCCTTTGTTCAGCTCCCACTCCACACCGCTCAAATACTCTAATACAATGGTTTAAATAGTTATACAATAAAAAACTTTACAGGTTTCTTTACAGGATTTTACAGGTTTTCCAGTTTCCAAGGTTTCTGATTAAAAATCTCAACGATCTTTTATCAAAAACATAAAAGCATAATAGCGTAAAAAACAACATGCTGTGTAACACGCATATATAGATATTTGCATTACATACATATGTATATCAAACCTAACTACATTAGTTTGCCATTTATTTTATAAAACAGACAACATATTTTACTATATATTGTTACATGCACTATTTTTTTTTTTTTTTAAGTTGATTAAGGTGCCCCAAAAAGTCCTTACGGTCTTATCACAGAGCACCGCGGAAGAGCATTTAATGGGAAGTTCACACCTCCTTCCCAACCGATGTCGCAAAACTTGCCCAGAGGTGGGGTTTGAACCAGGGATCTTACGTTTCTGAGGCAAGTGCGCTACCACTGCGCCACGGCTGTTTTAAAATTATGCACTATATATACATAACAATTTCCAAAATATAATAAACGCATACCGCATTTCTGACGACAATAAAGATGTCCCAATTTCAAGTCATCTGTGCTTTGCCTTACTTCTCCAAGCAAATCATGTCTCTTCAAATACAGTTTATTTACCAAATATGTAAACTGAAATTGTAGTTCCTTTTTTTACTTGTATAACAATTTTTCTACGGATTGAAAAGTTTCTTAAAGTTCCAAATGTTTCTTGAAAATTCTAAATGTTTTTGAAGAAATTTCGACTCTTTTTGACAATTTTAAAAATTTAGGAATATTCTGGAGGATGCTCAGGAATAATCTGAAGGATGTCAAGTTAAGCGAAGGTATATGATTGTAACTTCAGTGTTTGGCAGAAGTAGCTTTCGATATACGATGGTGCATAGGTTTTTCCGAACCGAAAAAAATCATTTTTTTGATTTATGCAAGTTTTTATTGACCTAGCTGAGAAGAGATTTAGTTGGTTTAACACCATACTTGGTGTGTGTTTTAACATCTAACTTGGTGTGTATTTTAACAACTAACTTGGTGTTTGTTTTAACACCTAACTTGGTGTGGCATTTCAAAACCTAAATTGGTAAGGTATTTTAACACCTAACTTGGAGGTCTTTCTCATTTTGTGCAATTCAAGATGAATCCAGACCACTATTGAAAAAATGTTTAAAGGGCCCAAATACAGTTTCGTCTAATGTTTGAAGTTTATTTGAAGTATGTGATGGCAGCGT